ACATGAGAGGAAATATGGAAGTGTCTTGATTCATATCATGTTCCCTAGCATGCTGCATGTACTGATAAAGAAGGGCAGAACAAGAATGATGCCAAAGAATACATGACACCAAATTATTACAACAAAGAAAAGGGAGATGCTGCGATTACGGAACCATTCCGTCAGGAGTTATAACTGTTAGATCAATTATCCCCGACGGTTACATGATGATCTAACGATTATAAACCCCAACGAAATAGATCCGTAACGGGACCGTAGCATTTTCCGAAAAGGAAAATTGTAAATGATCAAAATTATGTGCACACTTTTATCAAAATTTCGCAGGATGATTATGGATTTGTCATAAAAATACTGATGTGAGGTTGCATAAAGGGGTTGAATTTTTCATAAATTTTTGAACAAAAAATATGTGTGTTCAATTAAATTTCATTTTTTATTTGTTCTTGAAATGTTATTTTTTTTTTTCTTTTTCTTTTTATAATCCTGAATGTTGAAGATATGTGAGGCCTGCAAGAACTAGAGATGCTGCAAAAAAACGAAAGAATTTGAAAGTTTAACGGGCAACATCAAAATATGTATAATTATAACGACAAAAGTTCTCAAACAATATACTTCATAAAAGATCAAACATTCATCCTCGTCCACATTCTGAACTCCCCAGTTGCCAAATAATGAATTGTAATTAAGTATAATCCACGACGAACTTGTGTTACAGATGGTCCTCAACTTAAATATACCGTCTGTGACTGCATTAATAAGCACATGATCTCACAAAACACACTTGAACCGAAAAAAACAAAAAAACAACAACAAATTATACAGCCAAACACACATAGAGACAAATGGATATCATCAAATTCGACCAATAAGACCACACTTTCATCTCCTGAGCACACTGCAATTAATGAAGGTACTTTTATCAGAACAAATGCACAATTATGTCAATCTGCCAAAATATATCAGTATACAAAGAGCACTGTGTGTGCCCCACCACAAACCGGGCAGAAGGAGAAAAGCAGTGTGAATGTTTCTGTACATAAAAATTTTTGTGGGGGGAACTAACATGTATTTTTATGTTCCATGTGTTTGCTTATACGCATATAGATTCCAGAATATAGTGAAACCGGCTTGAAGAATGAGAGGAACTAAATTCATTTAATACAAGATTTTCCCGACTTGATAAGACTACCAAAATTTTCTTTGTTTCACAATAACTGTTTCAAAATTCGAGAATAGGGAAGAAGGTAATTCGAAAGCTTACTTGTACAAATAGGCTGCAATTCCAAGAATTATACAAAGCAAAATGATGTCGATGCAGAAGTTTCGACTAGATCTCAGCTGCAAAGAAATCAAAAGTTCCATCACATACAAAAAAAGAAATGAAGAAGAAAAGAAAAGATGTTGCAGATACAGGTCAAGCAGCATATCATGACCGACGGGAAAGAGAATATCAAGGCACCTGATTAACTGTGTCCTTTAATCTAACATTGGTATTCTTAAGATCAGAAGTTGCCTTGTCCACCTGCAAATAATCAAAATAAAATTGGTTTCGTTCTCATAAAGTCAAGGTACCGATTGCGTCCAGCATATCATTATATAAAAGCTACTAAATCTACTTTACAAAGACTATGGTACTGCCTAATGCGGGGCAAAATATAGAATAAGTATATTTCCATCAATCCATTATGTTGATATACTGCAGCAAAACCACATCAAAAACTCACAAAATTTTTAAGTTTGTCTAAAACGTCAGTCTTCTTTGTTGAAATCACAAAACTAGGCAATGGATGCTGGGCTCACATTAATTATAGAAAGAGACAAAACACATGAACAAGAGACACAATGAGAAAGACAAAAGAGTGTGTTTGGTAAGCACCATAAGCTAGCTCATAGCTTATTTGGTTAGCTTATAAGCTTCCTTTATGCAAATAAGCTTGGTTTGGCATGACGAATTTTTTTTAAAAAGCTCGAGCTTATTTCATAAGCTTCTTTGAGTAGCTTTTCAAATAAGGCAGTTTAAATTATTATTTCACCTTGCTTATCAGCTAATTTTACCAAATACTAATATACTATTATCATATCAGCTAGTTTTTCAGCCACAAGCTATTAGCTATAAACTAGAAATTCATTTGTAAGCTATCGGCTAACTTATCTGAACAATGAATCATATAGAAACCCGTATATGTGAGGGGATTAGGGGAATGGAGAAAGAGGGGTTGAATCTAAAGGTCTAACCTTAGTGTCAATCTCATCCATAAGAGGAACTTGTCTGTCCAATTCCTGCATGAATAGCACGGTATCAGAAAATCTCATTCGCGATTACCGTAGATTAACGAAGTACAAAACCACAAGCAGAAAAAAACCTCATTCATGTCATGAGCCATGTTCTTCAAAGTATCCAAACCCTCTGCTATGACATCTAATCCTTGGTCCTGCATTATGACAGTAAACAACGAGTAAGATATTTACCAATTAAAAAAAAACTCTCAAATAATCCATACTAGGGGAGAAAACATCACATGCCTGTTTCATTTTCCGCATTTCATACTCTTGCCTGAATTTGCTCGACTCTTCAGTTTGCTGAAAGTATTCATCATCAAAGCGCCCATCTAAAACAAAAATTCCACATGTTCAAGTTAATGACTAAAGAATAGACAGACCCGCCAACACACCCACCCCAAGTGCGTGAAAGAGCAAACCGAATGAATGCATGAAACAAATCAAGAGGCCAATTTGCAAACTATGAGTTTAAGAATTGAACACACTTATAAGGATCGACAGAAACCTGAATCAAATTTTATCTCCGACCGAGGAGCTGAAGTTCCCCAACCCGAAGATGATTTGGGTGCAGGTGCAGAGCCATCAGGTATGGCCTGAATCCGATCAGGCAGTGCAAGGACAAGGTCATTCCGAGCAGCAAGTTCTTCTGTAGAAAGTCCTTTGACCTGCACCAATAATATAGCCAATAAGTAAACACACTCCATAATGCCAAACTAAGGCTTGTTCTTCAAAGCGATTTATAGACAAACCAAGGTAATAAACCCAAAAAGGTCGTCCAAAGCTGAAAATATACCATTTAGCTTAAACATATATTGGGCATTGTGAGCATGCTTCATAAATCATAATTCTAACAGATTAGGCCAATCTCCATTTCATCCATAGCAGACTGTACTAGAAAACTAATTCAACTGGTTTTATAGAGATTGAAGTTCGGAAGGCGTCAGCTAATCGTAAAAAGAACCAATTTTTCCGAATCCGACTCGCCATGATTGAATCTAGATTCTGAAGCTAAAACCCACCAAAACTTCTACCCACATTGTAAAATTATAGAAAAACCAAATATCCAAGTCACCCATGATAAAATTGAACCAAACCCACTAAGTATCAAAAAGAAATCAGAAAGAATTAGGTCAAACCTTCTTAACAGCTAATCTCTGCAATTTGGGGACCTCTTCAAGCAATTTGGCCTTAGTCCTCCGAATCTCAGCATTGATCGCTACAGCCGACGCCCTACTCTTCTCATTCGAAGCCGTCTCCGCTTTCTACCAAAAGAAAAAAAAAAAAGTACAGATCAAATCCAAAACCCAGTCACAATGGCGAAAGAAAAAACTCCCACAAACCAAAAACTCGCCAAAACGCAATAAATCAAGACCTGAAGGAGGGATTCGATGTCGGACTCGACGGATGTGTAGAGGCGGGCGAAGGCATCGTCGCCGGCGACATTGGAGTCCTTCAGCGCGATGTCATACTTGTCGTACTTCT